TATGACTTATCATAATCTAATCTCTCTCCATCTTGGTCTATTTGCATCTTGTCTTCCCCTGATAGAGCATTCCTGCACCTTGTTTTTACGATGAAAACAAGATGTTGTAGTATCAAAATCGTTGATAAATCAGATCTTATTTGTCATTCTAATGTGGATGACATCTGACTCACTTACAAGGAAGATACCTCGAAGGAGAATCCAAGTTCACCTGTCACCAAAACTCAAATGCTGCGCTTCACCTTGTTATTCTGCTTTCTACATAAATGAGCAGTCAAGAACTTTCAACTTTGGAATTTATTTATGTGTTACCAATTTTGGGTACATTATTGGTATCTATTGAATTCTTAAAGGTATTGTGCGGAATGTCAAGAAATAGTAATCTTGTATCATCTGAGGATTTTCATGTTCTTCTTTCAGGAATGGGTGACAGATAGTCCTTTCATTATATCACCAAGAATCACCTTTGAGGTCAGTGTACGACTTCTTGGTGGTTTGATGGCATTAGGATATTCAATTGCGACCATTTTGAAAAGGAGCAGCCACATCTTCTCTGATGACAAGGTTTGTGTGAAAACAGATTGGTTGGAGCAACTTAATCGTCGGTATGTTCAGGTATGACAGTCACAAATTACTTAGTCGCCCTTATCTTATTTTGATTTAATTTCTTTTAAATGTTTGGAATCATGATTTGCAATATAGAATTTATTTATTCTTTTTTATTTTTTTGTCTTTTTATCTGTCTCCTGTATTGAGCATTTGGGTTTATTTTATTTCATCTGGAATTCAGGTAAAGATATGTGTCATTGACCCCCTAAAGAATCTCTGTAAGGCTTTACCCAGCCAATGCATAGACTTAGAATGCGGCTAGGCCGTGAGTAAGTGAATGTTTTGAGACTTGGCATGGCACAATCGACTGACCTTTCATTTTATTAATCTACTGGAAGAATCATTGATTTCTGGGGTTGAGACAATTGTAAGGATTGTATTTGGGAGAAATATCCTGTCTGGATACTTGCTCGCTCATCAGTCATCACTATCATTTGAGTGTTTACCTTAAATTTTTTGTTTTTATTTAATAAATTATAAACGTGACATGAAGCATGCTGAAAATGAAGAAAAGGAGGAAGAGGAGTTCCCTAAAACTTCAGTTGAAGAAGTTTAACAAATATCAATGAAGAAGAAAATTTTATGGAGCTATTTTCTGGTGAATATGTGAGTTCAGTTTTAAATTTCCAAATTGCTGACGACTTAAGGAAAAATGTGAAGTCTATTAGAAATGAATTTCCTCTTCCTCAGTTCTGTCATTTGTTGGCTTGAAGTTAATTGCTATTATTATTTCCATTTTTTTCTTATGAAGGTGCAAGGAAGAGATCGATTATATGTAAAATTTATTGCTGACTCTCTGGGTTTGGATGCTTCATATATTCCTCGCACTTACATTGAACAAATTCAGCTGGAGAAGCTTTTAAACGATGTTATGGTAAGAGCAATTTTAACTAAATACAAACTTTTCCAATGTTCCTGGTTCTGAGTATTACAGACTGTGCAGGCATTGCCAGACGATCTGAAGACAAAGCTGAGCATAGACGATGATTTGGTCTCAAGCCCTAGAGAAGCTTTATCCCGAGCCTCGGCAGATAGGAGAACAAAGTTTCTTAATCGGTAGGTCATAGGCTAAATTATTATCTTAACTACTGCTCAAAGTAGTCTATACGTATTGCACCATTATTTAGATGTTTTTATCCTGTCCGGAAACAACCACCACCTACTTATTTCTGCAAAAGTCATGGACTGAAAAAATCTTCATCTGTTCGCCTGTAACTATTGGCAGTGGTATCCCACATACATACTCAATTCAACGAGAAAAACACCTGTCCAAGCTGACAAAACTTGCGGTTAATAGTAGAAGATATGATGGAAGAATCCCAGATTCTCCAGCACCAGTGGCTAACCAGGTAACTTTTCTGAGAAATAAGTTTAGGTTTTTGTGAGAATTTAATGTCTCCACTATTTTGGTTACAGATTGAAGGCATTTTTGGTGCGTGAACTGATTTCCAGTTTTTTCTCTTGGTGTTCTGTGAAATTTCTTTTAGAAAATATTTTCCCTATTTTGGGGCATTTATTTGACATAAATTGCAAAAAGTTTAGCCCTAGTATAATATTTTACTCCAAGAAAAGGAGAAAGAGTTTCATTTACTTCTGAACACCATTGATTGACTCTTAATTGTTTTTATCGACACTCAAGAATATATTCACCCTTTCCTACTCTTTCCTCTTAGCGACTTCCACCATGATTCACAGCCCAACCATTGATCAAAGTTATAGGCTTTCAATTTTTTTTATAATTTAAATATTCCTTATATTAGAATGGTGTAACTCGAATCAACATAACCTTTGGAAAAATTTCATATCAGCAGAAGGAAGTGAGTCCTCCATTAGGAGGTAAAGAGGTACTCAGTTGGATTTTGTGGTTTTGAGAATCACCAGAGTAAACTGACTTTATAGCTTTAGAAAAGCAAGCCAAATGATGATCTCCTGGCAACCCTGGGCACTGGTGGCTGGAAACGCCTGCAAAAAACTGATGGATCCCTTTTATAGTCATGTAGAACAGCAAGAGAGTTTATTTTATGATTTACAATTGTTCATATATATAGATGTATAAAAAGCATATTTGGTTTGTTTTTATCTTGATAAGGGACTTTTATTCAAGTCCTATAAGTCTTTTTATTAGTCATACAAGGATCCATTCGTTTTGCAAAAAGATAGTTCGTGACGTCTATATGGAGAACTTGGTGCTGGAGTCTTTACCAGCAAAGAGAACTGAAAAATAAAGTTACTGTGCACCGGAAATAGTATATTGCATATACTGTTTTTCCTTTTCCATCTTTCTGCTTAATTTCATCATTTCTTATACACCAGAAGAGTAGTTAATTGTTATGCTGAACTGTTTGTAATTTCTTAATCTTGCATTTTCCTGTTCTCTCTCGATCACTCAAGAAATGCTTTTTTCAGGGAGTTGTTTCTCAACTTTCAGAACAAATTTCCACGCTGACTGAGCGAATGGATGAGTTTACATCTCGGATGGAAGAGCTAAACTCAAAAATATCTGTCAATAAAATTTCTGCCAGCCAACAAAATTTGGCAGTGCATGCTGAGGCTTGCAATGGATCTGCACCCACTTCTCTTTTTGTGGCTGGGTTAGGCAATGGCTCACTGACTGGTTCTCTTTTACCTCATTCATCGTCTGCTTCCCAATTGGCAAGGGAATCTTCTCTTATGGAAGAGGTATTTTAAGATTATCTTCTGCTCATCTTTGACACTATGCAGAGACAAAAGGAGGTGGCGTGGGTACTTTGGTATACTTTCTAAGCCAATTGTTGTCCAAATCTTGCCTTTTGATCTATTTGACCAACTTTTAGAGTAAACTCGATTGAGGAATAATTCATCATTTGAAAATAATACTTACTAGAGATGCACTGAAAGTTAATGACTTATGTTTCCAAGTACTAAAAGATTCTCTAACAAGAACCATAATCCAAGTTTAACGGAATTGTCTCAAGAAGATCGGGAAAATGGACAATTTGGGACTGAGGGGGTAGTCAATTTAGACAATTATGCTTCTGATGCAAACCATCTTGCGAGCAGGTACTTCTCATTGGGAGATCACAGCGTCAGATCATGCACCAGATAGACAATCTGAGCAATATCCTCCGTGAACTCAATGGAGAAAGATCTCGCCAAGGAAGAATGGATAGGACCGAAGGAATGGCTGAAGTTGTTGAATCAATTGGTGTTCCTCTGCTTCTTACTCTTGCTATTGGCGGTGTAGGTATCTTCTTGTTCAGGACCTTGTCATCTCAAAAATAACATATTCAGCTAATGCTACTGAAACAGTGAACTCGAAGATGTACATATATTAAGAGAAAATTTTAGCATAAATGTATATATTTTTAGCCTTGTTATCTTTGAAGAACCACAAATACATGACAGGATGAAATAAATTGTCTCTTGCAGATGGAGAGAGTATTTCTTCTTGGATGATTAGTGTAATGATATAGTAGGGCTTGTATTGGTGCTATTGCTATATCCTTGTTTAGGATGCTTGTTCAAATGTTTATCTTGTCCTTGTACCTGAGATAGCTCATGCTATTTTATCTGCTCAGACTGACTTCATGATTTAAAGAAAAAAAGGTTATCAATTAAATAACAATAATAGTAATAATTAGTTTTTAGGTCCTTTTGATAGGAAATTCTCATTTTTTTATTTATTTATTTTTTTTTTTGTAAAAAGGATGAACTTTTTCTCGAAAATCGTTAGTCAGGTTCATTTTTGAAAAAGAAAAAAAAGTGAAACGAAGGCCTGTTGATTTTCTTAGAAGTTCCTATTTAGTTTTTAAGCTGGGCTAACTCACTAATATAACAATATTGGTATAATTTTATTGAAATTCCAGTTCTTGAGTCAAGGGTCTACCTCCTTGAACCGAGAGTCTACCAGAAATAGCCTCTCTGCCTTTTAAAGGCAGGGGTAAGGTCTGCGTAAACTCTATACTCTCTAGCCTCACTTGTGGGATTAGACTGGATTTGTTGTTGTTGTTTGTTGTTTGCCAGTTCTTGAGAATGGAGATGAAAATGAATTTGTACTCCAAGAGCACGCTAGTATAATACTAGTTTCTTTTCTTCTCTAACGTATATGCCAGTTTATAACTACAATTGTGTTTTCCTTTCGTATTTCATTCAGGGGCAATTTTAAATGAGCTGTCATTGTTTATTCCTTGTACTTATAGTTATCAGCTTTCGGCTACTTTATTCAAAGTGCAAAGGATAGCTGCACGATTATCTAGTTACGCAGATTGAATATTTTCTCTAATGAGCATAAATTGCAGCATCAGATTTAGGAAGGAGAGAAGAAATGGCGCAGTTCGAGAAATTGCTACAGTAGTATTTAGCACAAGTACAGGGCAATTAAACTAAAACAACCGATATCATAATTCTGTTCATTAAAACAAGGATGAAGTTGTTTCACGAATTTCTGATACAACTCGATCATAATCCTCTTTCAGCTTCTCTTGATCTTCCTGGCTAAGTTCCCCCTTAGTAAGCTTTGTCAATACCAAAACGCAGCAAGTTGGCCTCTTTGTTGCTCCAGCATTTGCAAGATCCTGAAAACACAATGCTTTTACACACTAGCTTTATATTGCCATTTTTTAATAAACCCGCTACTCTTAGAAAACAACCATACAAAAAATGAATTTGGACAAGAGTGCCACTAATATAATACTCAAAGTAATGGGGTTTAATGCAAAAGTAACTGGCCGATAGCAAGTAGCAAGATAACACCTTAAGAAGGTAATATTAAGTGTATATACGAATAAAGTTTATGACGATCGGCTTACTTCTTTTGAGGGAACATAGATGTATGGTATATCAGATTCCTCACATAGGATCAGAACGTGTGTAATAACATCTACTGGAGAAATATTTCCATCTATAACACACAATCTGCAATTTCCCACAAGACAATGCTTTTCACAAGTTTGTAGTATGTAATATGGTAAATGGCAAATACGTACAAATATTTAAACTTGATAGATATATAAAAGAAAGCGAAGAAATGAACTGAACCTTTATTACCACGTCGAATACTCTTCACTACTTCTTTAACTCCTCTTTTCAAGCACTTGTGTTCCGTAGCTGAAAGCAGAACAATGGTAATAAAACAAATGTACATACAACAGGTTGTGAAAAGAGGTAGATATTGAGTCCGCAGAAGTTTATGTAATACCTCGCCTAACGAGTTTGAAGGTACGTTTGCTGAGTTTCTTTCCAGCGAGTGGTTTAGCAATAGGGGCTATAGCCAATAGCTTCTTTATCTCCTTCTCTTTCTGTGCCGTTTTCTCTACTTCGCTATCACTACCCATATCTCTCTCCTGCTCAGAACGCAACGTGCACTACACAAGTCTCTCTTGAAGTAAAAGCAGGGTTTATCAAAATGGCGAGAGTTTGCAACTCAATAAACTAGTAGGGTTTAAGGACCAAGTGTTCACTTCAGCTGTTCAGGCTTCAGAGTCTACCCAAAAAACTTGAGAAAATAACATTGTACGGCCACTCAAACATTTTATTAGCTCATGTTTTCATTACCGACCCGAAATGGCCTTCCGGCCCAATTTATTTGCAACTTGTAGTCATTGTCTATTTTCAATGCATTTATCTTCTCAAGACCACATTTATTCTCAGCCTTTTTATCGTTCTTTCATTCTATTCAATGCACAAATCTTTCTTCCCATTACCACTTTCAATCATATACTCTTTCTTTCTCACCCTCTTTCTTTCTGTGTCTTCTTCGTCTTCCTTTTTTCTTTATTTGATTTTTTTTTTCATTTTCCTTCCCTTCTCTATCTTCCATTTCAGATCTATATTTTTTTCTTTTTATTTTTTACTTCACACTGAAAAAGCTTGTTTAAGTACATAGAAAGATCACAATTTTTTTAATTCAATTCTTAAAAAGATTTACTCAATTACGATGCATGGTACAAGAGTGGTAGCAAAAGTCGTGGGATTTTCTAGTCAAGCTTCTTCTTCTTCTTCTTCATTCTTCTTCTTCTTCTTCTTCTTCTTCTTCAGGTCATAATAGTGTTTTGTGAGTGAAGATCTTTTACAATGAGTATCCGATGGAAAAAAACGATACTGTAAAAATAATAACCAAAAACAATGTATAAAAACTGTATATATATACTTTTTCGACTACCACATATAATTAGTTTTTAGCGCGGGCTAAAAGTGATAACACNCCTAAGTTTGGCAATGTACTTTGTGTATATTGAGTGTATTCCGAACGTGTTTGTGTATCCAAAGTGTATATTGAATTTTTTTATACATGATTATATATTGTATATATACTACACAATATGTATATAGTATAGTATAGTATATACAAATTATATACATAATTTATACACGATTGATACATATTGTGCGATTGTATTTTTGTATAAAAATTGTATATAAACTATCATGTGTATAGAAGATGTATATTTACAGTTATACAGTATTTAAAAGTTTTATATACAGTATTGTTCGAGTTTGATAATGTATTCTTAGTGTATTCCGAGCATTTTGTATATTTTAAATGTATAAAAAAAATATATTGTTCAACAATGTATAAAAAAAGTATCTATACACACTATATTAGTGTATAATAAGTATAGTACGTGTACAATCTATACATCACCTTCTTCCTCTTCTTCTTATATCATGGATATGTTTGCTTATGCAATATTATATTTTTCTAGATTGGATCACTAAAAATTTAATTCTTTTTTGTAAAAGATAAAAAGAGGATTGTAATTTGTGTATAATAGGAAGTAGTTTGGTGGTTGTGGAGAAGACAGTTGGGTTTCTTCTTCTTTTTTGTAATAAATATTTTGTATGAATTCTCAGTCTTTCACTTTTTTCTCTTTTAGTTAATTCTTAAAAGTTGTATAAAGTTATAGTTTTGTATAAAAATTGTATATACACTCATATAAAGTTGTATATAGAGGGTACTTGTATATTAATTTTATATAGAAGTTGTAAAGACATTGTTATACAATGTTAAAAATATACATGCAATGTATACTAAGTTTGGCAGTGTGTCATTGAGTGTATCCGAGTGTGTTTGTGTATCTAAAGTATATCTTGTATACATTGTGAAATGTACATCTCTCTCTCACACACACACATATAATCTCGTTATCTGTATGTATTTTTTCTTCTTGGGTTGAGTTTTAAGTAAGTTTTTCTCTTTTGAATTTTTTTTTTTTAATTCACCAGCTTTTTGGACTTTTGAGCGAATTGTTCTGTTTGTGTAATTGAAAATTTATTTGACTGAAATAGTTTTATACTTTACATTTCTTTGGACTGAAGATATATTTTTTATTAGTGTAAATGAGATTTATAAGATAAAAATCACTTGAAATACTTGACATGGGTTTAGAATGCGACTACTGAGATTTTTATTTCACTGGCCAGATGTTATAATTAATTTTTGGTTTCAAATTGCATAATAGATTTGTGGGCTAGAACTTGTCAAAAGTTTCAGCCGAGTGGCTAATAGTGAAATTGCCTCATAAAACTTTAAGCTGGGCCTTTATGGTTAGCATATTTGGGCATGTTCTTCGTGAAACACACAAATGAAGCCAACTGTCTTGAATGGATCAACTTCAAATGCCTAATTTCAGTAAAAATATTACGGGCTAGTCAGTTTTCGAATTGGTAATTGAAAAATAGCCAGCTTTTACAAAGTCATTGAAAAATAGTCATTATTTTGCTGCAACACGGAAAGTTCCAGCATAATATATTGGAGATTGGTGCACATGTGTATGAACTTCCAGCATATTATGCTGGAACTCCAGCACACAGAAAGTTCCATCATAATATACTGGAGATTGGAGCACCTGTGTATGAACTTCCAACATATTATGCTGGACCAGTATATTATGCTGGAATTTCACATGTAAAAAATTCGAACTCCAGTATATTATGGTGGAATATTTTCGGATTTCGAACAGTGTTTTCGTTCATATTTATCTTTACATGAAAAGTGGCTAAAATTCGATTACTTTTGAAATTGTGGCTATTTTTCAATTACCACTTGTAAATCTGGCTATTTTTTAATTTCACCAACAAAAAACGAGAGGAACTGTCCTCTAGCCTATTTGGCCAAGCTTCTAAAATTAGCTTATTTTGGAAAAAAAAATCAAAAGTATTTTTCAGAAAGTACTTTTGGTGAGAAATAGCTTGTGTTTAGCTAATCAATTTGAAAAATATTTTTGAGCAGCAATTAATATTTGACCCAGTTTTTAAAGTGTTCCTAAGTATATATTTCTCAAAAGTGTTTTTCAAAAAAGTACTTTTGGGTAGAAATTACCTTTTTAAGCTTCTCAAAAACAGTTTGAGTTTCTATGTAGAAATACTTTTTCTCCTCCTAAAAGCTTGGTCAAACACCTTAACTTAAAAAAAATACTTTTTTTGAAAGGAAAAAAAAAACACTTTTGGCCTAGGAAAAGCTTGGCGAAACAGGCTTCTAATGTTTTGGCTCATGCATAACATGGAGGTGTCCTCCCATTTCTTTTTGAAGCTTAGCTGTGGACTCCAAGTATTTTACTTACTAGGATCAAGTATAACTGAGAACTACAAAACCGTAGGTGTTTTCACCACTTCTAATATTTTGTCTGTAATCTTTTGCATAAAGTTAGGGATGCCTAACTTAATTATGTAAATGGAGGGGTTAGGCACTATGTCCCCCTCCTTCATGTCTTCTCATATTGGTTGCTAATATACAAGTTGGGTCTGCCTGAATCCCCAGGATGGTGAAACTATTGTTTTTTTAAAAAGCCAACGTGTTTTTCCTTAGCTTTTGAAATGGTTACTCAGGGAAATATGATCATTTACCTAGTTTTGAAACGTTTTACTAACCCAGCATAGCAATTGAACTGCCTGCGCAGTCATCTTGAACTTAAGAAAGATATTTTTTGACTATTAAACTATGCATTTTCCATGTAATACCAATTCTCAGTTAATTAATGTATACCAAATTTTAATTTTTCCTTTTACCAAGAGCATTTTTGACTTTCTAGCCGCCTAGAATACGAAACCATACTTGGTAGCAGGTCTACTTTGGTTCGTCCATAAGAACCTGTAACTTGCTTTACCATTACTGTTGGACTATTAGAGGGACTAAGAACCAAATAGCATCAATCTCATCCAGAGTTGTTTTGGCTGCAGGTTTTTGCAGTAACAGCTTTGCTTGTGTTATTATTCTTGCATAACTTTGCTCAAATTTTCATCTTATTAAAAGCCTATGAAACTTAGTTTTCCCTAACCTCGCTCCCTCTATTCCAACAGAGTAATGGAAAAGTAAATAAAACTGGTGGAAGTTTGAGATTGTGGCCCCATAAGAGCAGCAGCTAAAATTTATGGCTTTTCATTGAGTTTGTCACAAACATGCAAATCATCTAACTATTGACAGATCATCAATAATACAGATTTTGATATCGCCAATCTTTTCTACTTCCCTTGCTAATGTCCTAGTGAAGTGGTTACTATTATCTCTCAAACTTTACATTTCAAAACAAGAGAAAAATTCTTACATTACTAAGAACCTACAAGAGCGCTTATTTACAGCATCAGTAAATTAAGCCACAGTTCAGTCACGAAGAGTCTTTATATCATCCACGAATACTTGAAGTTCCTCCAGTGTCGCACTCAGTAGGCCTACAAGATAATATTCAATATTTAGCGTGTAAATTCTATCAAGGGCATTGTCAGATAATTAAATTAAGTTTGCCAGAATGCTCACCTTCATCATTGTTCGATCTGAACACTTCCCCATTTGAAGTGCGAATTTTTTTTGCTCTGCGGTGCTCAGTGTCCTCCACCATTCTGGTTGCCAAATTCTCCACTTTGGATTGAAAATCTGATGCAGTTCGTACCAGTTCTGGCAGAAATGGCCAATTAAAAGAACCATATTCAATAACTTGAATTTAGTAGAATTATATCATTAAGAAGCACAAAGCCCGGTAACGGAAAGTTTCGGGGTGATCGTCCCGTATTAAGGATTCAAATATGGAGTGCAATCACCATTTCAATTCCATAAAGGAATTACATAATAAGCTGAAGTAGGAAAAGTTTAGAAGTAGAAGCTGGATTAAATCGACTCCACTCTCAAATTTAAGAGAAATTAGATGATCAGCACATTATGCAAAAACACACACATGCCTACTTTTCTCACAAGCTACAACCACATCTTCTGCAAATTCAATCTTCTATTTGGCCAAAGATAGACATACAGTTTCAGCCCTCCTTCTATCTTCTTCCCTTCTTCGCTGTTTTATTGTTGCTAGGACATTAGAAGCTATATCAAGGTGCAGAACCCCAAAAACTGACCATACCCATGAGTCTGTGCAGATAGTGAATTTTCCATAGTTGGCTGAACCTCCCTCGGAATGGAAGAGCAAGGAAACAATTAATAGCAAGGTGGAAAATTCCAAGCCACTCACGGTCTTGGCAAAGGAAGAAAGGTAACCTATATTAGTAGGAAAAGAGAAAACTAAAAAACAAACACCGCCTAGATTATAGTCAAGATCCAAGGCAGGTATAGTTCATATGAAAATCCAGATCATTTGCAGTAACACGTATCTTTATTTAGCCCAGCTGCAGAAGGTTCGGATCCGAAAAATAAAAGAGGGATTATCTAGTCATAAAACACCACATACGTGCTATTTTCAGCAATAAAGGCTTGTATCCACAGAAAGGTATCAGATTAAGTCGCTATTTTCCCAAAATGGTTTTTCATGACTCCTCAAGTCAAGAAGCATCTACGAAGTTGAAGCTTTGCAGAAACATATTTACCTTCAAACTTCTCGTTCACTGCCAGTTGCTGATACAACTCCAACGCTTCAGTAAGAGAGGCAGCAGAGTGGCCACTTAACATGGACTGCCCTTCGAGAGCTTGTAGTTCTCTGTTGAGCTCAGCAGACTCTTTTCCCACCTGGAGAGATCATAAATTGCAAAGGAAAAAAGTTATCAATTTATAAAGACATGAAACATCTACTAATTTGCTGAGGATCCCCTACCTCGGAAATCTTGTTCCTTAAGAAATCCAACTTTTCATCTAGTTCAGGATTCTCAACAGCATTAATATCAAATGAAGTGTCACCAGATGGTCCATCCTAGATAAACATGCCAAAAGTAATTTTAATTCACAGATAAAAGTGTCTAGTAGCCATCAGCAGATAATGAATCATTTTTTAATAAATAACACAAACTATAAAATCCATGAATAGTAGTCACCGAGATTGAGATTTCATCACCACTCAGGCATTCTGCTCATCTAAAGAGCTCCATTTACTCCCAATCAGACGAATTACCAATAGAAGATTGATGCTTATATTCCTTCTACTTTCTAATTATTGTACATAGATATAACTGCAGGTTTGCGATAGTTGCCTCTTCAATTGTGCACTTTCAGTAGGATGTGGAATGGAAAGCATGCTCTTTGACCCATATCCATATGAGCAACTTGCACAAATCTTCTCCGGATGTGGAATGGAAAGCATGCTCTTTGACCCATATCCATATGAACAACTTGCACCAATCTTCTCCACTCCTACATTTATCCTTTTACTATTTCCTACTTAAAAATTTGGCAACGAAGTGGACCAAGCTGAATGACAGCGTTTTCTATCTGTATGCTATCACGGAAAGACTCTCGCCAACTGGGCCAGACACTCCTATTTCTTAGGGAGACAGATGGTTTAAGAGCCAATGGACAATCATCTCACTATAAACAAATTATTTTTGTTCTCAAACTCCATATCTGTAACTTGACATGTGCTATTGAACAAAATTAGGCAGAATGATTAAACAGATCACATCCAAAATAAAGATTTTAGTGCTCAAATATGCATGTCTTAAACAAGGGATGGTATATAAGCATGGGCAGATCTAGGGGGCGTAAGGGGGGTTCATTAGACGAAAAATTACACAGTGTATATAAGGTAAAAGTTTATTTTATGTGTATATATTAGATGTTGAATCCCCTTAGCTTCTTCACGTCTTTAATTTTTTTAGTTTTTGAATCCCCCTGATGAAGTTCTGCCTCCGCCAACATATATAAGTAAAACGGACGTGTTTAAAATTTACTAAGAGAGGGATTGGATTTCCAAAATGCAGAAAATGAAGCATACATTTAATATGACACAAGTTATATTTCTCAACCGAGGTAAAGAAAAAACACGGGGAACTAAAAATAATAGAGAACACACAGCTTTAGGCAAAGAGAACCCTTGCGGAACTTTAAAGCAATTGTGCAAACAGTACTTCTCCCATAAACTCAACCGCTTGTCCAGAGTCAATTGGACCATGTTCTTAATTTGAGCCACACCCTGCAAATGAAATTAGTTTGTCTGTCAGTGGTCTGAGCTGCTTAAACTTAACAATATTTAAAATAAAAACAAAAAACTATGAAAACCAACCTCTTTTAGATCTTCCGATCGATTTGTGCCTTCAGTTTTCAGAAGATTTGCTGCCTCTCTACAGAAGGTCATAAAGGAAAAATAAACGGCAATGGAATTCGACGACAATTAGTTAGACATGAAGGAGGGGAACTACTACTTACTGGTGGAAGAAATCAAAAGCATCATCAACTAACTCGTCGACAATATTGAGGGCCTCGTTGACGAAGAGCTTCGGATTTAGGTTCAGCGAATCGAACACTTTCTCGCTCTCGCTTCCTTCCATTTCCTCGCTTTCCAATTTGCTCAAGGGTTTGGGGCTTCTGCAATTTCAAAATTCTTATTTTAAGGGTTTTTCTCTCTTTTTATTTTATTTGTTTTTATTTTTATTTGTGGCAGTGCCCCTCTCCCATTTCCCGCCATGTAAGGTTGGGCCTTTCCCCCAAATAGGCGTAGGCCTGCATAAGAGGTAAAATTTTCAGAAATAGCCTGATTTATAATTGTCAATTGAAAATTAGCCATAGTTTTAAAAGTAATCTAAATTTAGCTATTTTTTATGTAAAAATAAATTTTAAATAAAAATACACTTACAAATCAGAAAATATTCCAGCATAATATGTTGGAGTTCGATTATTTTTCATATGAAATTCCAGCATAATGTACTGAAATTTCATAATATGCTAGAAGTTTATATGCACGAACTCTATAATCCAACATATTATGTTGGAACTTTTCGTGTTTTAGCCAGGATATTTTTGTCTCGATTTTTCTTGGCATAGAATAGTGGCTAGTTTTTAATTATCAGTCCGAAAATTGGCTAACTCATACTATTTGTACCACTCCCTCCGTTTCAATTTAGATGAGTTAGTTTGACTCGACAAGGAGTTTAAAAAAAAGGACTTTTGAAACTTATGGTTTTAAAGGTTTAAGGGGTAAAAGTTTTATGAGACCATGATATTTGTGTGGTGATAAAAGCTTATCATTAAGAATAAAATGGATAAAATGAAGAGTTTAAAGTTAAATTATTTTCAACTATAAAATTGTGTAATTCTTTTTTAAACGAACTAATAAGAAAAATATGTCGTCTAAAAATTGAAACAGAGGGGAGTACATAAGATGGTGAAAGTAAGAAGGCCCGCGTCAGAAAATGTTGAGAAAAGCCCATATATGGTTAGGCTCCATAAAATGGAAAAAATCAGAAATAGCTTAATTTATAAGTGCAAGTTGAAAATTAGCATTAGTTTCAAAAGTAATTAAAATTTAGTCATTTTTCATGTGAAAATAAAATATTAACAAAAAAATATCTTTAAAAATATGGGGAAAAATCTGGTATAATATGTTGGAATTCAAATTTTTTTCATACGATATTCCGGCATAATATTTTGGAATTCATAACGTGCAATTTATATACAGGAGCTTCATAATCTATCATATTATGCTTAAACTTTTTGTGTTTCGGTTAGGGTACTTTTGTCCAAATTTTATCTCCTTTTTAAATAGTGGCTAATTTTCAATAACTTTACAAACACTGTTTTTTTTAATAACCACCCATGAAAATATCTATGCCATGCTATTTTGACCCGTAAAATTAATATTTTGTTGAAATTAAAGAGAACAGTATTTAAAGTTGGAGTTGATAAACTCGAGAACTACCATTAGATTTTCTCATTAAAGCGAAGAATTTGAAAATCATAAATGTGGAGGATAATAGCATGTTCGGCCAAGCTGGAAAAATTAATTTATTTTGAGAAATATTTTTTTCGAAAGTGCTTTTTTTAAAAGTATTTTTTGTGAGAAGTAGTTTGTGTTTGGTTAATTAATTTGAAAAGTACTTCTAAGCAGCATTTAGTGTTTGTCCAAACTTTTAAAAAGTGCTTATAAGTGTATTTTTTCTCAAAAGTACTTTTGGGAGAAGCTAATTTTTTCTACTTATCCAAAACTGTTTCTTCTTCCACTCAAAAGTATTTTTTTTCCTCCTAAAACCTTGGCCAAACACTTTAACATTAGAAAAAAAAAGCCTCAACTTGAAGAAACTTGGTCAAACATGTTATTATAAGGACCCGTTTGGCCATAAATTTTGCCAAAATAAATTTAGATTTTATTTGTCAAACACATGTTTGGCCATAGATTTTGCCTATATTTTGGCAAAATCCCAAAACCAGCTCTGGTTTTGGGCCAAAATATCACTATTAAATTTTTTTAAAATTGCCCCAAATTTTTATATTTTATAAAAGAGTCCACAATTTATTATTTTGTAACAATGTTGTTTCGTCTTTTCGGTCACCTATTGATAGTGTATCATGTAGTTCATTATAAAAATGATAATTTTGTATCAAATTTATTTATGTTCAGGACTATAGTTTGCGATAATATAATGAATGTTATTGATAATGGTATTGTTGTGTATTTGTGATATTTTTTAGAACTTGTAGGTATAAGTCATGTTTCATGTTTTTTCAAAATAAAATTGGGAAATATATTTTGAAAACTGATGTCCAAACACATTTTCATCTTCAAACCAAACTTCACCAAAATTAAAATTTTCAGAACAAATTTGAGAATATATGGCCAAACGCTACCTAAGTTGCTCGGAGCAAAGAAAATGTACATTTCCAAATGGTGAACTGCTACATTGAATTATGTAATATTAGAATTAATCGTATAAATCAAAAACAAATGAAAAATACATATTGGGGCAATTTTCAATAGAATGATACTTTTTTTATTAAACTAAACTATATAAAAAAAACAAATGAGATATTACTGGTATGAAATTAAAAAATAAATACACAATAATTAGTTCATAATTTTGAAGAATGAACGAGTTTCCAGTCAAATTAAAAAAAAAAATAATGGTATTATCGGCAATTAAAAAAACAATAATATCGGCCTTAATTTCTTGTTGGGTCCTCAATTGTTCCAGAACATGTCAAAATACATCTAATAAGTTGCTGATATTTTCCTCCGACCAGATAATCTCCGATACTGGTAATGTGTGTGCAACAAATTCGAGGGCTCTTCAACATGACGAAGAAGAGTCCTTGTTCCGTTCAGGCTTTATTCGACCTTTGTAAGCAGACTTTCACGCCTTCTGCAACTTCCCCACCTTCTTCTCAAGCCATTCACAAATTTTATTCCCTTTTGGGTACGTATCTCTTTTACCCTTTTGCCTTTGTTCATTTTCATCTCCATGTTTCCATTTTCATTTAGTGTAAATTGCAATAATTACGAGCTCTGGGGTTGTTTTTACTAAGGAAATAATTGAGGAACTAAAGTTATTTATGTACGTAATATAGATGTTAGATGTGGATTATAATGAAGAAAGTCGGTTAACTAGGTGAATTTGATGCAAAACATATCTGCCTATCCTATAAAAGAATAATCAGCTTATCAATGAGTAGGAAAAAAAAAAATTAACGAAGGATTCACAAAATGTATGTATGACCGGCAATAATTAACGTGCTAGACGAATTAATTTAAAGTTTAAATCCTATTCCAATAAGGTAATGAACATTTTGTTGCTGTTTGTATCATTACAAATGTGGATAGTTTACAAAAAAGTAAAGGGGATTGTTAAAGTATTGAGAATGGAAATTCAGGGAAGGTGTGGTATATGGTATCAAGGGCTGCATTTTAAAAGAAACTTTTACAATTTTTTTTTTCCAGATACAATTGGTCCTAAAGAGGTTGGACTGAAAGATGAGAGCTTAGAGGATGAAAGAGGTCATGGCCTTTTTGGACTCAGTGTCTTCAACAGGGTCGATCGATGGGCTCAACCGATAACATATGTGGATATACACGAGGATCAAAACTTTACTGTAAGATATTGTGCTTATTTAGCTTCTTGCATGTGTATTTGTCAAATGCATTTATGTGGTCTCTCTTTGGATTGTTGTTGATCGCTCAAATAGATTCATGCGCGTGCCATCAGAGCCATTGGAGATGTACTATAGGAGTGCAAAGCTACATATCCTCACTATTTGCATGCTAACAGTGAGAGATTTTTGCAATCTCTTTTCCACCATCCAACCTTTTAGAAATAAAACCATACAAATTTAGCTTGAACATTGTAAAGTACAATTTTGCTATAAAGCCTGAATCGCAATAGGTCTACATTTATGGATGACAAAATAGTTCTTCAAGTTATAGTGTAGCAAATTTACTGGTCATATGTTTTTTGACTCGATGCCGTCACTGCTTTATTTCTATCAGTATCAAACATGTGGTTTCCATTAAATGAAGTATTTCAAGCTTCTGTTATATCTAGGTCAAACTCAATTGAAAATGATGTAATGCAGATGTGTATGTTTTGTTTCCCTACTTCTGCAGTCATTCCATTACATGATCATCCTGGAATGACTGTATTGAGTAAAGTTCTCTATGGATCCTTGCACGTGAAAGCTTATGACTGGGTTGAGCCAGCTTGCATCAGGAAGAGTGAACAAATTGGTCATCCTACAGGTTGGATTTAAACAAATTTCAAGTGTTTAAGTGTATCTAAAGTTATTTCTTGTTAATTTCAGATGCCAAAGTACTAAGTGGGCGTTTGGACATAAGAATTGTAAAATTCCAAAATAAGGGGGGGAAAAATTTCAAGTGAAAATGGTATTTGAAATTTAGAGTTGTGTTTGGACATGAATATAATTTTGGGTTGTTTTTGAAGTTTTGTGAGTGATTTGAGTGAAAATTTTGAAAAATAGCTTTTTGGAGTTTTTCAAATTTTCGAAAATTTCCAAAATGCATTTTTAAGTGAAAATTGAAAATTTTATGAACAAACGCTGATTTCGGAAAAAAAGTGATTTTTTTTGGAAAAAAGGAAAAAATTTCTTATGTCCAAACGGGCTCTAAAGTGTTCACATTCTTTTCATTAGAATGCCCACTAAGCAAATTTCAGAGAATCTGAACATTGATGGTGTGAATGATAAAGCGAGCAGAACTCAGAAGTCACTTCATTGGTTTGGTATCATGGCCCTTAGCTATAGATAATAAAAACCTTTCTAAGCAAAGCAGGCAAAACCATTAATATAAAAGGCTAATATGGTGCCTTAAATAGGTTGGAGAGCTTTTAGATCTAGTAGAGTTTTCTATATGGTCCTGGAATTGTATGATCAAAATTTTGAAAAGGGCAGATATCCTAATAGTGCTGGATTTGCATTCAAAGAAATTCAGGATACGATTGAGTGTCTCTTTGAGAGATCACGTTGGGTGTAAAGAGTCGGAAAGCATAAAAAGGAGAAAAGAAGCGCTCTGTTGGATGCATCGGATCCCGTACAACAAGCGAGCTTTTTACCCTTAAATTCAACATGTGGGCGCAAAATTACAAATTTGTCTGGCACTCAATTTTTGATAGTTTTGTTAACTCAACCATGTCTGTTATGGTCCTTCGATGGGTGTTATGATGCTCGCTTGGAAAATTGTTAGGTGCCATGGAGTTACTTAGATATCCTCCTTCTTTCAGGCGGCATCATGATAAGAGATCACCCTTTTACTTCTCAATGACTAAAACATTCTTGCCTGCTCCCATCCATTGTTATCTGATGCACGACATAACCATTCTTAGTAGTCACAACCACTTGGACATCCTTAGATTTTGAAAAGCAAATGCAGAATCTGTTCTTCCCCACACTTTTCCCCCACTACTTGTGTCGTGCAGACTGTCAGAATACACATCTTTCTCGGTGGAACTCTCATCACCAGCACCACCATTGCAGTGATGTCTTAACTCTTAATATTAATATCAAATGAAGTGTCACCAGATGGTCCATCCTAGATAAACATGCCAAAAGTAATTTTAATTCATAGATAAAAGTGTCTAGTAGCCATCAGCAGATAATGAATCATTTTTTAATAAATAACACAAACTATAAAATCCATGAATAGTAGTCACCGAGATTGAGATTTCATCACCACTCAGGCATTCTGCTCATCTAAAGAGCTCCATTTACTCCCAATCAGACGAATTACCAATAGAAGATTGATGCTTATATTCCTTCCACTTTCTAATAATTGGCAGCTTGTTGATTTTGGGTAAGCAAAAATCAATCATTCTTCTATAATAACAGAATTATACATTATTGTATTTTGCACAATCTGGGGAATTTTGGGACTTCAGCACTATGGAGTTCATGTAATTTCGGATTTACTTGGTTTAGGGAAAATATATCAGCATTTGCTGTTTTCCCTTCTTCATTATCAATTTTATATTTGGTCATGTTCAACCAATATACAAATGATGGTAATGAAACTTCTGATTCCAAATTTCTTGTTTTGACAACACTTGGTTATCAAGTCCGCTCATTATGAGCTCAATTATTTTTTAATGATCTATCTTCTAGTGCTCGATCCATTTCATTTTGGGATCAGTCAAGCTTGAACCCAACTGGGTCAAGCCCTTTTGAGGTGCTACTTTGTTCAGTTTGTGCGCTATAGCAGTTTACTACTTTGTCCTATTTGTTAGTGCTTTCCTCAGTATTTGTTGTATATTCTATAACTGATTAAGAGGTGTGCCCTCAAATGTTTGCACGTACATTATTGACTATCTCACTGTAGAGATGCTTTTCACATTTGCTTAGTCAACTAATATCCTCATCAAAATCTATATCTACCAGCGCTGTATTAGACTCTCGGATCATAGCTTGCTAGATGCATTTGCTTATTTTTTTATATATTGCTAATTCAAAGTGAAATGGTATCTATGGCATTTTCTTCTGGTGTAATATCTTTAATACTAGAAAAGTGTGCTGATTTTGATAGTTATAACTATCTTATTTTCCCAACTTTACTGCTTGTGGATCCTTATTAATTACTGCACATATGAAAAAGTATTAAGAAAAGGAAACATGATGCATTTATTTGGTAGTGAGACTAGCCAGGTTGGCGGTTGATAAGGTCATAACGGCACCACATGGTACATCTGTTTTGTATCCCAAGAGTGGAGGGAATCTGCATTGTTTTACTGCTATTACACCTTGTGCGGTTCTGGATATTCTTGCTCCTCCTTATCTTGAAGCAGCTGGCAGAAGATGTACCTACTACCATGATTATCCTTATTCCAGCTTTGGTTAGTGTCTATCCTCTTTCTGTTTAAAGCCTTGTCTTTCGCAAGGGTTTCTTAGCTATTTCAGATTGGAGTCAGATGCACTCAGTTTGTTCTAGTGTTGTATTGACATTAACATGTCATGCATTTGCAGCAAATGGGGATGAAATTGTTGGTAATGGAAAAGAACAAGACTATGCGTGGCTTGCTGTGGTTGATACACCAGAGGATCTGTACATGCGCCCTGGAAGGTACATGGGTCCAGCCATCCACAGGTAGCAGTATACATCTTCCTGCAATCGATTCGTTATGGAGTGTGGATGTTCATGGTTCTTTAACTGTGACCCAACTAAGATTGACCTATAAATCAGTAATTGATGCATACAGCTGTGTATTGTTACTGATTCCTTTTTTTTTTTTTGGGTCAAAGGCTTCTGTATCATGTTACTAGAATTTTGGAAGTGCTACAGTATAATGTCTTAGTTTAGCCTTCGGCATTGTATATCAGAGTTTGTATTAGTTCCATAAGATCATGATCAGCTCTCCCACATGTCCACAAAGTATATGCCACAATATAAATTTTTGAGCCCTTGTAATTTCTTTTTCCCTGTTCCTCTTACCCAAGAAGAAAATAATTTATCTACACAGAATTCAAGATCTTTCGATCACTCCAGTGTTCGCCAATACGCCTTTTGTCTTAGGAGCGTGGAAATTGATGCTGCTAAATTTTGAATCCAGATCTACTGTGGTGCATTGACTCGTTACGCTCAAGTTGGTTTTATCAGCGTTACTGCAAGCATTCGACATTCTACATTATAATTTAATAGCATCCTGTACAATGCACTCAAGTTTCCAAGCCTTGCTTCACATCCTGTACCGCTTTTTATGTTTGTATTTCTTAACCCACATTTCCAGCATTGTCATACTATACTGTAGCTTTGGGCAAAAGCATAGTCAGTTTTTACAGAGGCGACTCCAGCAAAACTGTAGCACTGTAGCCTTTGCTAATTTGATCGTAGTTCTGGTTGGTCACTTTGTGGTGTGTAGTTTTAATGTGATTATATGAGATTACTGTGTAACTTCTGGGGAATCGATTATATAAAAATGACTTGGTTGTATTTATCAAGACTGTTCGTCCAAAACCTGAAGAATTCATTAACACAATAATTTGTTGATTTGACTTGATATCAGGCCTCCCTCAACAACTAGACAAATACCGTCATGGCATCCAAAAGAAAAAGGAGGACCTTATTATTTTGATAAAGAGAGCACACCTGCTGGAGACAGGGAATTCCATTTTGGAAACAAAGTAAGCACGCATGAAGACTTGTTTATTTTTTGAAAACTGCATGAAATGTTGATCAGATGTAGCTTCTAATGCCTACCAGATCCTCCTCGAATACATATATCTAAACAACAACGCCGATTGAGTATACAAAAAGGAAAACTTTAATGGATTCTCCCTACTTTAGTTTTCATCTATTGTAGGTGTGGTGCGAAGAATGTTTCAGTAATTTAGCTTTTGATGCTTTCTCAAGGAGATCTGAAAGATTCACCAGCATAGCGAACATCTCCAAGTTCCTCTTCGATACGCAGAAGCTGCAATCAGTATAACGAGTTTAGCCAGTCTAACAAGCAGGAAATAATCTTTTCCACCCTTAAGTTATCAACGAACACAGAGCTAGTGCAAAGAAAACATAATGGGACATCAGACATCAATAAAATCCAGTTGAAATGCTTCGAGGTGTTTTTTTTTTGTTGAAGAAAAAATAATCGAGGGAAGAAGATTAAACGACTTCAGTATAACTTTACAATCTGCTATGGATATGAGTATCCACATCGAAAGCTTATTAACTTCCAAGCCGTGACAAGACTGAGTAGTAAAATTGCCAACAACAGGATGAATAAAAGTTGTTTTATTGTTTCTGATCATGAATAGAAAATAGGGGGAAAGTAATCCTCGCCCAACATACTCTACAAATGTTGGTTAGCAAACCTCTAGTAAAAGAGCAAATAATACTAATTTGTTTGAGAACGGGAGGGATAGAGAAGGAATACTAAATGAGATAATGAGATAACAGTAGCAACAACAAAAACAAGAAGAGCAATGGCAACAATTAGAAATAAGAAGACAAACGAAGAAAGAAGGGCAATTAAAGTGTTCCATCTTAACCTGGTTGTATTTTGCCAGCCGCTCACTCCGACAGGGTGCTCCCGTCTTGATCTGCATTACAGGATAATTTAAAAGAATATATTAATATGCTGCTGGTGGTTAAAAGAGTGGAGAAGATCAACCAATGTCAACAGCTGGAAGTCGAGAGTACCTGTCCACTGGCCAAACCAACAGACAGATCTGCGATAAAATTATCCTCTGTTTCACCGCTTCGGTGACTGACCATAACACCCCAGCCCGCAGCTTTGGAGTCTAGTGCTGCTTGAATGGATTCTGTCACTGTACCAATCTGGTTAACCTGCAACAATTTGAAAAATGATGAGCCAAGCCCCTCACTACCATGTATCATTCATTTATCAAACAGCTGAGGAAGTCCATCGAAGTGAATATCCATGCACTTCTACAAGCTGACTGAGGTTTTAAACCTGTCGGCCATGCAGCTGCTTAAGTTCCACTACAGATGGCTAAAAGTTCATTCAAGAGAGCTCTAACGGCTTTAACACCTAACCTTATAGGAGAGATTTATGTACATCAACGCAGTGTTTCTGTCTTGCAGGACTGGACCCATGATAACGTATAAATTGCATTTTCTATGTCTGAACTTTCTCCCTCTTGCCCATTAAAGTTATAGTATAATTGAAATAGAACTATACATGAAAACAAAATGATATACTGCATGTGAGCTCTGACGAGTCAAGTGCTTAAAGTAGCATTGAAAAGAGGGAACCCAGATTAATCAAACCGTACAATAAATGTGTCAACATCAAGTGTTTAGCTATAATTGAGACATAAGCTGTGAAGTACACCATCTTATGACATGCATCCATTCAAAAAGGTTCATAACATAATATTATGGTATTGTTAAGCCACGATCTTTCTAGGACAACCCTTATTAGTTAAATACTCTAAGCATTTTTTTGGCAGGAATAGACTAGGCTTTTCCGGAGAAACGTACCAAATTAAGCACCGCTGTTTTAAGGCTCTTCCTGTTAATTTATTAAATTGCCGAGGATCAACTCAAAGGTACTGTACCTTACAGGTAACATAACCTCATTTTGCTTCTTTAATTTACGTACATTGTAAGTTTTATACCTTTGTGCGACTAAGCATTTGAAAAGAGAAAGAAGCCTACTGATGGAACAAGGCAGCTTTGCTACAGAGATTTGTATGTTGCTTAAAGGCATAAGCCCTTACCTTCAACAACAATGCATTGCATGCCTTTTTCTGAATTGCTTCAGCAATTCTCTTTGGATTAGTCACCAGCAAATCATCACCAACAAGCTGAATATCAACTGAAGATTGTAGTGATGCCCATGAGCTCCAATCATCTTGGTCAAATGGATCTTCAATAGATACAATAGGAAATTCTTTGGCAAACTCCTTATAGAGTTCACAGAGGCTCTGAGCACTAAGCACATGAGCTCCATCATTTGGTTGATTCTTGAAATTGAGATCATATTTCGCATCTTTTGTCAAGAACTCAGATGCTGCTACGTCCATGCCAATTTTAATCTGCACCAATCTTTCAATGAGCAAGTCCATAACTTCCGAAAGTAAAATAATGTAATAAAACTGCAAGGCCAAAAAGAATGTCGACCTTGCCAGTGTAACCGGCCTTCTCAATTGCATCCATAAGCAATACTAGCCCTTCCCTGTTATCCTGGACATTTGGAGCAAATCCACCTTCATCACCAACATTGCATGCATCTTGCCCATACTTAGCTTTGATAATTCCCTTTAGAGTGTGGTAGACTGTTCTCCAATCAAGCGTGGACAGTTAAATACCATGTATAAAGATATTATTTACAAGTTTGCAGAACACATAATATGCAAAGGTTACAGGTCATGGAGAAGAACAGCTATAGCCTATAGGTACTTCAGGACAAAGCAGCATTTTGATGCTCAGAATAAGAAGTTTAGCTACTGTTTTACTTCTTCTAATGCATATTTACTGAAACCAACACTAATTTGTTAAAGTGAGACAGAGATAGCGATCAAGAAAGAGGAAGCAATTTTCTATTTACTTCAATCCTGATCCCAGAGGACAACAGATTTCTCACCTTCACTACCCATACGAAGCGCCTCAGTAAATGTTGATGCTCCAACGGGTAGAATCATAAATTCCTGCATAGCCAAATTGTTACCAGCATGGCTCCCTCCATTTATCACATTGAACGCTGGAACTGGCATTACAAGTTCTTTGGTTCCAGATATTTCTTGAATGTGTTTATACAAGGGTACTGCTTTTGCTCCAGCACCAGCTCTACACAAACTGAGAGAGACTCCAAGAATGGCATTAGCACCAAGTTTTGATTTATTAGGAGTTCCATCAATCTCCAGCATAACAGCATCAACATCAGCCTGTTTCCTTCACAAGAAGAAATGAAAATTGTCATACATGGATGGTCCAAAGTTGAGAAAGGAAATTGCAGCATATCAATTAGTCACCTTTTCTCGGTTTCTACTTTCTATGACACTCTTTTCATTTTGGGATGTACCAAAATGTTGACACTTTCCCTAATAATATTATTTTATACAATTTTCACAACTTTTATGAACTTACATTCCCCTCAATTATTCAAATTTTAAAATAATGTTAAAATACTTTCTCTGTTAAACTAACTTTTCAACTACTCCCCCTGTTTCAAATTAGATGAGGTACTTTCCTTTTAGTCTGTTCCAAAATAAATGACACATTTCTAAATTTGAAAATAATTCAATTTTAAACTCTTCATTTTACCTATTTTACTCTCAGTGAGAAGCTTTTATAACCACAAAAATGTCATGGCCCCACAAAGTTTTTACCTCTTAAACTTTTAAGACCACAAGTTTCAAAAGTCTTTTTTTTTTCCTTAAACTCCGTGCCGAGTCAAACTAATCTAAATTGAAATGGAGAGAGTATTACTTTACTAATATTTTCTTTCACTACCACTGATATATTAAATAGAGCAAATTAGTATATTACTATATTAAACTCCACATGACCAATACCCTCATATATGATGAATGGAAAGAAAGAAAGAAAGATTAAGCAGACACCAAGGCAGCCACTCATTATTAGGCAATAATGCAGTACAATACAAGCAATAGCACCACTAGTATTCCCTACTAATCGATCTTTTTAGCTGTACGCACCAGTCAACTTCTTATTTTCTACTTCAACTTGAACCAAGCTGAGTTCAGCAAATTTTATTATTACTAGCCAAAATCATATATGCAGTTGCCTAAGCTTTCATCTTTTGACAACCAATAAAGACAAAGTAGTAAAATGTAAATTTACTTGGCTCCTTTTATTATCAACAAACCAAGTGGCTTACACAGAGTAATGGATGGACCATACACAGCCCTTTACTAACATAGAAGGACCTTTATTCTGATTGTTCAAGTGCTCTAAACAAATTTTTAGCGTGTGACAAGAGAAGCGTCTTTCTAAAGGATTTAAGTTATATACACTTTTACGTACCATTTAATCTGGGTAGCAAATCATTGCTATTGACCATAGTTAGCTACAATTACCTATCAAATGACCAAATTGTTTAAATATATTTTACACGGTCAGTGCACTCAAATAGTATACAAATTGAAACCTGATACTACGTGGACGATTGAAAATATTACTTTGAAAAAAAAAAGGAGGAGAAAACGAAAATTTAAGAAATAAGGAAAGAAACTTTAGTTACCTAACATCAACACCAACAAGTTTGGGGCCCAAGAATTCATTAATATTTTTAACAGCATTGAGGACTCCTTTACCCCCATACACACTCTTGTCACCATCTCTGAGCTCTAGAGCCTCGTAGATCCCGGTGGAAGCTCCACTTGGCACCGCCGATCGATAAACAAGATCATCACCAGTGACCAGATCAACCTCGACCGTAGGATTGCCCCTGCTGTCTATAATCTGCCTCGCCTTGACAGATTTCACCTTGGAGGAAGCCTTGGATACAGTGGCCGATGGAGCAGCGGCGACGGAGCAGCGGACAGTGGACGGCCGAGATTGAATCTTTTGGGTCGCAGGTAATGAAAAAAGCGGCCCTTGTGATTTGGGTTTGGTGGAAAAAAAGGGCTTAGAGAGCTGAGCTGGAGCTAAGGCCATTTTGTATGTATATGTATGTAAAATGCAGAAAGAGGAGAGCTTTTAAGGTGAAGAGAGTAAAGGGTTTTTGTGGGTTATTTAAATGGAGAAAACGGGGTTTATAGGAAAGTCCGCCGAAGGGCGAAGAAAGCAGAGCGTTTGGTGTTGATGATGGCTTTGAGGGTGGTTGTTGGTGCTTTGGAGGAGACGTTATAGTT